TGAAGCCGGGGCAGTGCTCAGGCCCTGAGTTCAAGCCCCAGGACTGACAGTAAATAAATAAATACATTTATTTTTAGAAAGTACACAGTAGGGCTGGGAAGGTGGCTCAGTGGTAGAGTGCTTGCCTTGCATGCATGAGGCCCTGGGTTCAATTCCTCAGCACCACATAAGCAGAAAAAGTCGGAAATGGCACTGTGGCTCAAGTGAGTGAAGAGCTGAGGGACAGCGCCCAGGCCCAGAGTTCAGGCCCCACTACCAAAAAAAAAGTACACAGTAGAAGGAGCCAATTTAAACACTTTGTTGTTAACTTGAAGCTTTTTTTTTTTTTTAACTCAGCCTGAAAACCACTTCGGACTTTAGGAATAAATGTAGATATCCTAAGTTGTTTTGTGATTATTGGGCAGTCTCATCACTTCTGCAAGTTAAGTTTAAAAATGAGGGGGGCATTTTCTCAGTATCCCCTGAGATTATTAGATGTAACTGATGCCAGTAACCTCATCCCATCCCAGAAGATCTGGAGGTAGGAGGGGAGACCTGGCACAGGCCGGAATAATGAGGAGCAGCCAGCCCTACCCCCTCCGCAGAAAAGGAGGGCTACACCTGGGTGAGGAGGAGTTGGCTTCTTCCCGATGAGGAAAAAAGAAGCTGGTGCTGCAAAGGTAGGTAAGGCAGTGCCATGGTGGTCTGACGGGCCAGGCGAGCAGGGTTTATCTAGGAGTCTTTGAAAGCTTGAGTGCAGTTAAGGAATACTACATAGATTGGGTATTTTTGACTCCTAGCAGATCCACGGGAAATGTTCCCAGTGACAGCAGGAGGGAGGAGGGCGTTGAGAAAGAACGGAGGAGAGTATGGCGCTAAGAGGACTGCAGTCGGCCTTCATGCAGGCTAAAAGTAGAGGCTGAAAAGTGTGATCTTCCTGGTGCAGGAGCTGGGGGGGGGGGGACAAGTGCGAGGAGTGTGCGATGCGGGGGGGGGGGCGGCCAAGTGGAAAGATAACCAGTAGACAGGAGGAAATGCAGAGCTGGAGCGGCAGCGAGCCTAGAGTGGGCTGTTGAGCAACTGTCTGTGGATGGCGGAACCACCGGCGCGAGGTCCTCGGAGGGTTGGGCTTGGGTGAGTGAAAGGAGACCCTCCAGAAACACAAGGTGCGGCGGGTTATATTTTTCTCCTTGAATTAAAAAAAATGATCTACACAAAAAAGATGGTTTGCAAGATGGGTATGTGCATGTCTGACCCCCTGAGCAGGCCGCAGACAGCTGGAGAGGGACAGGGCGGCCGTCCGGCCCAGGGCGGTGTGGGTGGGAGGGGATGGGGTCGCGTCACCTAACAATGCCATCTTGCACTGTGAGAATACAGATTTTTCTCGCACAGGTACTGTGTGTAATTGTAAAGTAGAACTACAGTGACAAGGAGCCAGATAAAATGCATCAACAATCCAGTTGAGTAGAGGCGGGCCGGCCAGATCAACTGCCCTCCTGAACAAGGAGTGTCCACACTGAATTCGGATTTTTAGAGACGTGATTTCTTAACCTCGGTTTCAAAAATGTGCTTCCAACCCTGTGTCGTGCACATTTTGAATTATTTTCCGAAAGAAGAAAGCATGGTCATTCTGTTGCCCTCCTCTCTCCCCCCGCACAAGCAGTAGGAAGTTGGGACAGTTTCATAGCACGGCCCATTCACAATTCCCCACTGAAATCTAGAGGAAGGTCACCTTCCATGAATACACAAAGACACTATTGTGGTCACCAGTGAGCTGGCTTAGTGAACACAATTCTTTTTATACTAAAAGAATTTTCCCCCCTTAGGAAAGCTAACAAGTAGGTGATAGAAACAATGAATAAAACTAACTTTTTCTAGAACATATAAATAATTTTAAAGTGAGCGTTGGAACGAGAGTTTAGAATGGCAGAGCAGCTCCAGCAGAGGCTCTGGTTACGCAATCATCCTGTTGAAAGCTAGGATGGCGTGGAGGCTGATACAGTAATTACTAGTAGTACTTGTTGGCTGGCCGGCAGGTGGGGGCTGGGCCTCCTCCACTGCCCCCCCCCCAGCATTTTCCTGTAATCTGGACAAACAATCTTCAAACGTGTGCTTTCAAACTACTTAAATACCATATTCTCCTTCCTATCTTGCCTTTCATTTTCCTATTACCACAGATCCTTTCCCTAGAGTCCTGCCAGTGCTTGTGGGGCACTTAGAAGAGGCACGGTAAACCACTGGGCTGAGTACACAGAGCAGAGGCTGGCTCACTCGTTAATTGGTTTCTAAATTCTTTAGAGCTTTACTTGATATAGTACATAGCATATTGGCCTTATTTTGAGAAAATCAGCCCTCAAAAGACCTCCCAGTAATTGAAGATTTTGAAGGGACAGAGTATTTTCTTTATCAAATATCTCTAACTAACTGGGTGAAGGCAAAATCTTGATGACTTGAAATAGTCCTGTGAGCATGTGTGTGTGGGATCTACCTCTCCCACACAGCAGCTGGGGGGGGGGCAGGTTCAATCACTGGGCCCCTCAGCTGACCCTGAAATGAACAAACCTTACCATCCCTACTTCCTTTTTAATATGGGGAAAACGAAATAAAAGCAGTATTATTTTTATCCCTTAACTTAAAAAAATGTATGCTTTATGGGCTGGAAACATGGCTCCCGGCGTAGGGTTTCTGCCTAGTAAGGAGCCCTGAGTTCAAAACCTGAGTAAGAACTGGGCATCGGTGGCTCACATCTGTCATCCTAGCTACTCAGGAGGCTGAGATCTGAGGACTGTGGTTCAGAGCCAGCCCGGGCAGGAAAGGCTATGAAACTCTTATCTCCAATAAACCACCAGAAAACTGGAAGTGGTGTTGTGGCTCAAGTGGTAGAGCGCTTGCCTTGAGCTGAAGAGCTGAGGACAGTGCCCAGGCCCCGAGTTCAAGCCCCATGAGAGACAAAAACAAAAACCCAAAACAAAAAACACCTGAGTAAGTACTGCCAAAACCTGACCTCCTAAAACCATGCTTCATGCACTGATTGCCTTCAGTTCGTGCTGGTGTCGGTAACGAGGTAGGGGCTCAAGCCTTCTGACCATGTGCCCGCAAGGAAAAGGGAGAGCATGCCTTTTCTGGCAGAGTGCCCTGTCCAGTAAGAGGCTACTGATTTGTAGGTAAAGAATAGATTTGAAGTTGTTCAGAAACTGGTTTTTGTTTGTTTTTTAATCCTATGTGCTTCAGGTACCAGTAGCTCACATTTGTTATCCTGGCTACTCAGGAGTCCGAGATCTGAGGATCACTGTTCAGAGCCAGCCCGGGCAGGAAAATCTGTGAGACACTTGTTTCCAATTAACCACCAGAAAACCTGAAGTGGAGTTGTGGCTTAAGTGATAGAGAACCAGCCTTGAGTCAAGCCCTACAACCACTAACAAAAAAATCGTGTGTGTGTGTGTGTGTGTGCACCCCCAAAGGGTGCATTACATGGGATCACAAGTCGTGCCCTAGTGTGCAGGGCTGACGGTTAATATAAGCACACGCCAAACATCTAAATGCCTGAAAGCACTCTCGGGACCCCCAGAGCTGGAACCTCTGACAAGAGAGGCGTTCCCCCCCCCAACTCCATGAGGAGCCACCAGTTTTAGAAACATGTACCCCGCCTTACAGGAGAGCAAGACATGACTTACAGGGCCTTGCAGGGAGGGAATGTGAAGAATGTACTTCACTTTGTCTTTGAAAGGGAGGAAGAAGGGGCTGGGAAGATGGCTCAGTGGTAGAGCGCTTGCCTTGCATGCATGAGGCCCTGGGTTTGATTCCTCAGCACCACATAAGCAAAAAAAAGCCGGAAGTGGCGCTGTGGCTCAAGTCGTAGAGTGCTAGCCTTAAGCTGAAGAGCTGAGGGACAGCGCCCAGGCCCAGAGTTGAGGCCCCATGACTGGACCCCCCCAAAAAAAGAAAGGGAAGAAGAAGGCTGTCCCAGGCCATGGCATGAGCTCGCAAACATGATTTTTACAGAGTACTGGAAATTAGCATCTTCAATACATAAATATTCCTCTCTTGGACAAGCAGCGTCTAGAGTTCTATGGCCAGCCCTGAAGTAGAGACTGCAAAGAGATGCTAGGCTGCGGGACAGGCGGGCACCGTGCTGGAGTCTTCATGTGCTGGGCGTTGGTGAATGCCAGTTGTGCAATAGGAAATGGGATGCTTTCTGAAATGATACGTTTTTGAGATAAGGTCTTGCAATGTAGTCCAGGCTGGCCTCAAAGTTGAGACTCACCTGTTTCCACCTCCTGAATGCTAGGATTACAGATGTACACCACCACACTTTCTTAGCTTGGGGAAAGTGAGCAAGATTCATGTTTCCCACCCCATTTGGCCATGGCTGAGGTGGCCTACTGCAAGAGGAGGCTTGTGTGCTTTCTAAGGCAAAAGTGACTTGAACAGTTGTAAGGCTGTGCAGTGAGATAATCTCATTTTGTGAACACTTCAAGTTTGGAGTTGGTAACTTTTTGTTTTTGTTTTTGTTTTTTTTGGGGGGGGTCCGGTTGTGGGCCTGAACTCTGGGCCTGGGTGCTGACCCTGAGCTCTTCAGCTCAAGGCTAGTGCTCTACCACTTGAGCCACAGCGCCACTTCTGGCTTTTTTTTTCTGCTTATGTGGTGCTGAGGAATCGAACCCAGGGCCTCATGCATGCAAGACAAGCACTCTACCACTGAGCCACCTTCCCAGCCCTGGTGTTGGTAACTTTTTAAAAATGTTCTTAGTGTCAAGAAGTGAGAACTAAGCAAAAGTCTATTGCCGAGGGCTGGGAAGGTAGCTCAGTGGTAGAGTGCTTGCCTTGCATGCATGAGGCCCTGGGTTCCATTCCTCAGCACCACACAAGCAGAAAAAGCCACAAGTTGGCACTGTGGCTGAAGTGGTAGAGTGCTAGCTGAAGAGCTGAAGAGCTGAGGGACAGCGCCCAGGTCCAGAGTTCAGGCCCCATAACTGACCAAAAAAAAAAAAGGAAACACTACCATTTTTTTAAAAAAAGCTTTTAAAAAAGTCTACAGCTGAAATGTTTCTGTTCAACTTCCCTGTTACACAAACAGGCCATGTTGCTGCCACCATCCAGACTATGCCAAAGACATGATGCTCATCTCTTCCTCCTCCAGGGAATGAAAGCTACTGGTTGACTTAAAACCCTTGGGCGGCTCGGATTTGGAGGCATCCCTTGGTTAAGGCGCAATGTCCGCGGCAGGAGTAGCAGCTCAGGAGATGAGGGTCCCATTGAAGACTGGATTTCTGCATAATGGCCAGGCCCTCGGGAGCATGAAGAGCTGCTGGGGCGGCCGCCCTGAGCTTGAAAAGTAAGTTGGAGTACTGAGCACTGAGCAGGGCACGTGGGGCTGTTTCGGTGGCCGAGCTCCATGATGACCAGGGTGTTCTCTGTTTTCAGTAACTTCTTAAATATCGATCCCATCACCATGGCCTACAGTCTGAACCCTCCTGCTCAAGAGCGCCTGGCTATTGTGGGTATGTACTGGGAAAGCCAGGGAAAGCCAGTGGGATTGGCTTTGCCTTGTCCTTAGGCGTTGTTTTAAAGGCAGAAACGAGAGCCATTTTCAACAATAGTCTGACCCCTAGTGGCAGCAGGTTCTGAAAATAACTTTTGAGGTTTTCTCACACATTTGGAACTCTCCTCCCTTACTGGGAGTCACTGGTTCCTAAAGAGAATCAACTGCTTGTGGAAGTGTGTACTCTTTGAAAATCAAGAGTGAGTTAAGGTCTGTCGTGGGTGATACCTACATCTAGAAAACGTGGACACCATCTCCCATCTATATTTCTAAGATGAGTGCATGTTTGTGAGCGACTGACAAAATGAAGGCTAGCGTCAGGTTAAAGCATGGAAAGAAGTGGTGTGTGTGCACTCAGTTCTGGGTTTCGTGGGGCGCTGCTTACCGGGCGCACACAGGGCTGTGGCTGTGTTCTCTCGGTGCCCTGGTGTGCTGGCCCTCGCCTTACCTCAGCCCAGCGGGCCTTGTATTGTTGCACGTCCTAAAAGGCAAGGCTGGTGCAGCATGGTACTCCTGTAAATGACATGCTGCTCACCTTGTGAGCTGTGCACACGTCCCCGGGAGATGGAGGAGATAATTTGTTCTTTGAACCAGATCACGTGCTCTCACCTTTTCTGGCTCTAATTACACCCGTGGTGGTGGTTTGGGTGTTTTGGGGTGACAGCGCTCAGGCTGACCCCTAACTTGGGCGGAGAGCCGGAGGCGCCCGTGCGGCCGTCCTGGCGTCCCTGCCCACCGTCCCTCCTCCGTTCCAGGGCACGGGGCACCGTCCGCTTCGGTGAACGGCCACGGCTTCGCGGAGAGCGGCCCGGCTCCCAAGTCCAGCCTGCAGCCTCTGGTTTTCCCCGCGGGCGAGGGCCTGGCGCAGCGGGACGAGGACCAGGTGGCGGGTGGCTTTGGAAGACTCTCGCTGAGCGGGCTGTGCGCGGCCACGCCGCCCCTGACGCCGGGGCGGGGCGGCCCCGCGTTCTTCCCGGGCGCGCCGCCGCCGGAGCGCGGCTCTCGGCCGCTGCCGCCGCTGCCCATCTCCGAGGACCTGGCCCCGGACGACGCGGACTGCGAGGTGGAGTTCCTCACCAGCTCCGACACGGCCGTGCTCCTGGACGACGGGCCGGCGGGCTTCAGGGCCGACCTCCCGGGCCGGCGCAGCTTCCGGGGCTGCGGGCAGATCAACTACGCCTACTTCGACACCCCGGCCGCCTCGGCCGCGGACCTGAGCGCCGCCGCCGCGCCCCCGCGCAGCCCCGGCCCGCCGCCGCCGCAGGCCCACCGGCGCCTGCGCAGGTCCCACTCGGGCCCGGCCGGCTCCTTCCACAAGCCGGCCGCCCGCGCGTCCGGCCACCCGCAGCGCGCGTCCCCCACGTCGGACGGGGACAAGCCCGAGGTGCCCCCGCGGGTGCCCATCCCGCCGCGGCCCACCAGGCCCGACTACCGGCGCTGGTCGGCCGAGGTGACCTGCGGCGCCTACAGCGACGAGGACCGGCCGCCCAGGGTCCCGCCCCGCGGGCCCCTGTCCCGCAGCAACTCCCGCACCCCGAGCCCCAAGAGCCTTCCGTCTTACCTCAACGGCGTCATGCCCCCCACGCAGAGCTTCGCCCCGGACCCCAAGTACGTGAGCAGCAAGGCCCTGCAGCGGCAGAGCAGCGAGGGCGCCGCGCAGCGCGCGCCCTGCATCCTGCCCATCATCGAGAACGGCCGGAAGGTCAGCTCCACCCACTATTACCTCCTGCCCGAGCGGCCGCCCTACCTGGACCGCTACGAGAAGTTCTTCCGCGAGGCTGAGGAGCGCGCGCCCGCCGCGCCTGCGCCCTGCGGGGAGAGGCCGGACTGCAAGGCCCGGGCGGAGCCGGGCGCCCACGGCAAGCGCAAACACTTATCCTACGTGGTGTCGCCCTAGCGCGGGCGCGGGCCGGTCAGCGGCGCGGTGAGCCCAGCGTCCCCTGCCCTCGCGGACATTCGGGTAGAGCGGACGTCTGTCCCAGTCTGTAACAAAGATGTGATAGTGGGGGCCTTTCCCGTACGCCGCCTTTCCATCCCTGTGCATGGACCCGGGGTACAGCCGGCACCGTAGCCGCAGGCCAACCCGTTCGCGACCGTCCTAGAGTAATATATATTCAGAATAATGAACACCGCGCTGGAAGAAACGCTCCCGATGGACCGAGCACTGAGCAAGTGGAAGAAGACAAGCAGTATTGTTTAGATCAAAGTCCTAACGATTATTTTCCGCTTCGTAGTTGAAGACCTCTGGCTTGGGGGCCCCGCTAGCCCGTTGCATTTACTTTTGCAAGCGGTCTCCGGATCGGGACAGGCGCCTGTCCGCGCAGCCAGGCCCGCCCGGCCGGCCCCGCGCCCTCTGGGTTTTTTCCTATGGAAGGGAAAGATAGTTTCTTGGGCAACTGCATCCTCTCCTGTACCTGTCTCACAGGCTGAAGACGAGGGAGCGAGTCGTTTCTCCGTCCGGAGGCCGCAGCGAGGGCCGGAAAGGCGCACCATTGAAAGCAGTAGCCGTGTGGTTGAGATCGCCTGTGTGGGCATGTGTGGTGTGTGTGTGGTTTTTTAGACTGTATTAATAAATTCAACACAAGCTGGTCTTGTGTTGCTGGTTCCAGTTCAGTATTTCCTGAAGATCGTTTGCTTTTTAAGTGAAACACTTCTGACCAATAGCACAGCACGTCTTAATGCCAGAGGTCACGTCAGCATCTTCCCGCTTCGAAAACTCCAGCCACTGCCTCCGCCGCTCCCCCGAGCGAGACGCTTGCCCGCCCGCCCCCCCCGCCTCGGTCCCGCCGCCACTCCCGTGTGGGCCAGCCACGGAGAAGGTGCTCGCTCCCAGACCGAGGGGCTGGCCGCCACGCCCCCGCTGTTTACAGTTGAAACTGCTGAATGATATTATTTGAGCTATTTAAAGCTTACTATATTTTAGTACGAACTAAATGAAGGTTAAAACATGCTTTAGAAAAATGCACTGATTTCTGCATTATGTGTACAGTATTGGACAAAGGATTTTATTCATTTTGTTGCATTAATTTTGAATGCTGTCTTTTCATTTTAATAAAGTTATACTACTTATTTATGACACCGTTAACACTGTTTCTTGACTAAACTCCTCTTAGTGTCTTAGGTAGTTTGGATCTTATGTGAGCCTAGGTAGGATTCGCTGAAGTTTAATACACATTGGCGCCTACTGTCATTTTGGAAGTGGTCATCTGAGCAGCCTTGACCATTACGTGGGCGAGCACTTGTGTTGCTGCTGCTGCTGCTGCCGCTGTTTTGGTCGGTTGCAGGGCCTGGGCGCTGTCCCTGACTTCTTTTTGCTCAAGGCGAGCGCTCTACCACTTCGAGCCACAGCCCCACTTAATGGTTTTCTGTCGATAAGAGTCTCCAGACTTTCTGCCCAGGCTGGCTTCGAACCGCGATCCTGAGAGCTCGGCCTCCTGAGTGGCTGTCACAGTAACGGAGTGAGCTGGGCTCCGTGTCTCCGAGAAGCGGTGATGGTGGCCGGCTGGGTCTGCGCCCAGGAGGAAGCCCCACCGCCGGCCCGGGCTGCGGCCTGCGATGCTCCGAGCGCCCTGGGAGGGAGCGCGCCCGGCTTGCTGGAGGCCACGCAAGGAATCCCACGGCCCGGCCGCGGTCGGAGCGCATGTCTCCGGCCTGTGGCCTGCTGCGCCCCTGCCACCCCAGGTCCCCACATCCTGAGGCGATGCAAGGCGCCTGCGCTGTGCAGGCCCGGATGTGACGCAGGCCTGGGCACGCGCAGATCACCGCGCCCCGGAGGGCGGAGCGCGGAGGGAGGCGCATGGCGGCTGCACCCGCAGCAGGCCCAGCGCGGCTGGAGCACGGTCTCCGCGGGCTCGCGTCCCGAGTGCCGCCCCGGCGCGCCGCGAGGCGGACACTGGGATGGGCAGCGAGGAGCCTGCAGTGGGTGGCGGGGCCCAGCGCGCCCTGGCCCGGGAAGGACAGATGTTGGAGGGAATGAAGTCCTCGCCTGAAGAAACCGCGCCTTCCTCACGAGCGGCCGAGGGGCCCGGATGGCCCCGCGAGAGCCGGGGGGGCGCTGGTGTGCGCCTGCGCAGCGCGGCGCTGCCCAGCCCCCGTGCCCGCAAGCATACCAATGGCAGCCCGTCGGTGGCTGCTCTCAGCGGACCTACACGCTCACTGTGTAACAGACTGGCCTCGAGCTCGTTCGTGATCAGCCCGAGGGCCGGCGTTCCCGGCTGGACCACTAAGAGCTAGCTTCCCCAGCACCACAAGGAGGTGGGAGGAAGCGGCCCACCCAACCAGACGCAAGGAAGCCAGGTCCCGACGTCTCCGAGTTCAGGAAGAAAGCACATGCCTGTCTTGGTGGGGCGGCGCCGGTGCTGGGCTAGAACCCGGGTCTGTACGCGGCGAGGCGACCCCCGAGCTGCACCCCCAGAACCAAAGGACATGTTAAGCTATATCTTAATTTGATTCTCAATTTCATCACATAATATCTTTACATTGTCGGGTGCCGGTGGCTCACGCCTGTCATCCCAGCTACTCAGGAGGCTGAGATCTGAGGATCGCGGTTCAAAGCCAGCCCAGGCAGGAAAGTCCGTGAGACTCTCATCTCAAATAAACCACCTGGAAACCGGAAGTGGTGCTGTGGCTCAAGTGGTAGAGCGCTCGCCATGAGCTGAAGAGCACTCTACCGCTGAGCCACCTTCCCAACCCCAACTGTTTGTTTCTAATCCAGTCCTAAAGCTTTGAGTTATTCTCGCTGGGCGCTGGTGGCTCACGCCTGTAATCCTAGCTACTCAGGAGGCTGAGATCTGAGGATCGCGGTTCAAAGCCAGCCCGGGCAGGAGAGAACGTGAGACTCCTATCTCCAATAAACCACCAGAAAACCGGAAGTGGCGCTGTAGCTCAAGTGGTAGAGTGCTCGCCTTGAGCTGAAGAGC